CTGGCTCTGTGCGCGCTTTTCGGCTGGGAATCGTGGTGGTATGAGTCTGGCCCACTCTCGGACCCAGGAGCCCTGCCACTCCCGGAGAACTCGCTGCCTGGGATTGATATTCTAAATAGGTAGTGATCACCTTGAAGAGCCCTTGACCCAACCCCTTACAGGAAAAGCCCCTGTTCTGCATTCATGCCCGCTTGCTACGTGACTTGCTTCCCCATTTGATCCCAGTTTAATCAGTTTTACCTGAACAATTCTTATTGGCTGACCATAGTTTTGTCCATTTTTCCCCTACCTTGGACTCACCTCACCTCATGGTTTTGCTCTATAAAGGTCCCTAGAAAAGACAGAGTCGGGCCCCCCTTCTGTCCCTCTCTTGTACAGAAGCTTTCTCTCCCTCAATAAATATATTCTGTGCTTAACCTCCGTCATTCCTAAAATTCATTCTTCAATTTTACAGAACACGAACTCATCCCAGATATCATTCAGGTTGAGAGTTTTTATTTTCCTGTATCACTACCACCCAAGGAATGTAAACATTTAGTACTGCAAACATGTGCCTCCCCAAAAAAGAAGGGGATCAAGGGATGGGGGTAGGAAAGGGGAAGTAAAAAGGAATTAAGATGTGTTATATACATGTACCAATTTCCCACAGGTAATATAACCATTATGTACTACCATATATACTAATAAACTAAAAAATAATGCCCAGGATTAGGTTAAGTGATCCTCGACAATACTTAAAATTTTAGAGAAAAAGTACTGATCTTTTATTTCTTCAAATCTTGTTTAAATGCACAGAGATGAATAAATAAATAGAACCCCATTACAATGTCAGTGTTGAAAAATAAATAAATAAAATAAAATGTTAAGGGAAACTAATCTAGTGAAAATCCAACTAGTAGCAAAAAAGTTAATATAAAAAGCAACCCAAATGGGCACAGTGGCATACACCTGTAATCCTTGCACACCAGGCAGCTGAGGCAGGACAGCCTAGCCTGGACAACTTAGCAAATTTGCAAGACCCGATCTCAAAACTTAAAAAGAAAGAGGCCAAGGATGTAGTGTAGTACACTCCCCAGTACTGCTAAATCAATCAATCCTAGACAATACAAATATTAGATCCCAAAATGTATAAACAAAAGAGAAAACCATTTATAGCCATAAAGTAATAAGCACTGGTGGTGAAATATAAAAATACATATGTCTTAGTCATTATATAATAAATAAAACAAAATCTGTCTAACCATGACAGAGGAAAAGCACATAACCATAAATTCCAGACAGACCCTCAGCATTGCCTTGCAAACCCACTTTACTTCACTTAAGAGTTTTCTCAAAAAGTGTCTCACATTTTCTCAAACCTCTAATACACCTTTTCCATCAGTACTCGGTCGACAAGCTTAGTCCTTTCAATGAACTATTAGAAACAATTAAAAAAAAACGTGTCCCACTACCAAATTTATGAACCTACCTGCACTTGTGTAATAATACACTCCCTTTCCTCTTGTAATAACTGACAGTCAGTAACCACCTCCTTTCTAAGGCCAATTCTTCTCACATTCACTCTTCAATAGTTAGATTTTCCTCTTTACCAAAAAAGCACACTTAGCAGCGTCAAGTTAACAGAAGTCTTCACACTGGGAAACCAGGCGGTCAATTTCCCCATCTTCAAAGATCTCACTCAACCTCTCAGAAGCAGGAGGCAGTCGTTCATAAGCTCACCTCCTTCCCAGCCTCTCGGGCTCCCGAAACACCACACATCCCCGCCCTCCTCACTGACTGCACTTTCTCAGTGTCAGCAGCTGAGCCCTTTCTACTGTCTTCCAACAGTACAGTCCTCCAGGCTCAGCTCCCACCCTCCTCATTACTGATGTCCTGTCTCCCAGGACCTTAAATACTACTTAAATGCTCACAGCAACCAAATCTACACAGGAGAACCAAAACCTACCCTCCAGAGCTCCAAAGGCAGCCGCTCCACATCACACGTCTAATGCACACTGCACACTTTACACATCCACACAGTTCTTTTGATCTCCCACTCCCACCCACACCACACATAATTGGTCTTACTTTTCTCATTTCAATATACGGTGCAAGCATTGGACCAAAACTTCTAACACCTCTCACCAGTGTACCAATCTAATCCAGGGCTCGCATCTGTGAAACACCCTAAGGGCTCTGGGCTTCCACCCTCACCTCTGGACATCCATTATCATCCCAAAAGAGCAGCCAGAAAGGTCCTCTTAAGATACAATAAATCAGATGCTAAACCTCCAAATGCTTCTCGTTCAAAACAAAAAGTCCTCACCACGTGACCCATAAGGCCCTCCACACCAAGTCTCCCATCTCATCTTCCACTTCTTTCCTGTCCGCCCTCTTCTTGCTGTCCGTTGATGTTTTTCAGGTTTGTATCTCCTTCAGAGTCTCTGAATTTGCTGCTTCTTCTATCTGGAATATTCTTCCCTCTGGTCCTCTTCCCTTACTTTACTGAGAATCTCTGAAGCGCCAGCCCCTCCAGAGAAGCCTTTCTCCTAACTCCACTGAAAGCACACCCACCGGTAACTTCTAGTTTGCAAGTGTTTCCTCTCTGTAATGCACTGTTTGTTATAAAATATTTTATATTTTGCATCTGTTCACACTCTGTCTCACGAGGTATAAATACAAGCCCTTTCAGGCAGGAGCTGACTTGACTGCTTCTTGGTAAGCAGAACAGTAACTACCGTACACAGGCGGTCACAACACTACTGGCTTAGTAAATTGACTAATATAATTTCCATATGGATATATTTATGTACGAACATGGAGTATCTTGAAACTGCTAGAACTGTAATTCAGTCTTCCATATAAAGTGGTATCAGTTAGAAGAAGAAAGCTCATGAAAATATGACCTGTTTTCTGCACTGAATTTCCAGACCAAGACATTTCTAGTAGTTTCTCCAAAATAAACAGATGTAAAATCATGCTAATAACCTGAATTTAAGATCCCATATAACTCTGGGCAAGGCTTACAATGACCATTTCTATTTAAACCCAAGTTGCACTACTCCTCATCCCCTCCTATCTCTGGCACTCACAAATAACTCAGTTACCTTTATTTTAGTTTGCAGTAAGTTAATTTTTGACCAGGTAGCATAGTTCTATATTTTTTTAAAAGGCTGGAAGCTTGGAAAGATAAACAGAAAGGTCTCCCTCTCATTCCTGTGCCTCAGATACCCAGTTCAAACTCTCACTTCCAAAATACAACTATTGGTATTATGACACACAGCTTGATTTTTTTTTTTTTTTCCTGAAAAGGGTCAAGCAGCAAATATTTGCAGCTTTGTGGGCTACATAGTCTCTGTTACTACTCTTCAACTCAGCCATTACAAAGCAGAAGGACCCTTAGGCAATACATACAGGAATTTACCTATTTGTGTTTCAAACAAAACTTTATTTATAAACACAAGCAATGAAATGAGCTTTTTTCTGGGATTATACTTCAGAGGGCTACAACACAATCTCTCTGTTCATAGAAAAAAAAAAAACAGTACTAGAGGGCACTGTAATGGAAGAGACTGCAATAAAGAATCCCACTTAAAACTTCACTCGATTCTGGAAATGACGTGCTAAAATAATGTAGGTACATATTTTTATTCAAATAAATAAACTGAAAAGTATTCCAAAATGTCTTCTCTATAATCCATAATATATAAATAGTTCATTTCACATCATGACATAATTACAAAAAAATTAAAAGACCATTAAGACAAGACAGGCTAATAATTTAACAAGCAACAGATTGCCAAAAATTAAATTCTGTTCCCACACTTTAAGTGGTATATTAAATATAAAATTAAAATCTTCATAGAATACATTAAAGACATAAACCAGAGTCTATATTTAAAAACAATCCAAATCCCAAATGTATATTTTTCTAATACATTCCTCATATGTCTTATGAAAGATTTCATTTAATAAACTTAACCAAGGTTAGAGAAAAACAGATCTCTCTAAAGAGTAGATTATTGATAGACTGAAGAACCAGCTCCTCCAATCTAAATGTACCCAAGAATACCTTACCTTAGATGCCATTCTCATAAAAAGTTTGTTTTGACTTTCTGCTGTTCCCATCTTTTCATTTTTGACTAAATCACTTAGGCTTAGATGATCATCATCATGAAAGTATCTGACTCTTTCTTTTTCCTGATGGGTAGAAACCTGCGATAAAATGAACATTATTAATTTGGGTAAAACATGAAGTCTATGAAGTATTTCTTAATGTACTACCTATAAATCTCCTCATAAACGTAAGACTCCCACCACGTATCCCAACAATTCCTTCCAGTTTCTCCCTGTTCTACTTGCTTCCAGGCCAAAGACCTTCCAATAGAATTACACTCCTTACTTTCTCTGTTCCTTTATTCTCCTCTTCCCGCGAAATGATACCATGACATTAATGACCTGAATTCTGTTGAAAAAAACAAACTAACACTGTCTCTTCCTCTCTCTTCTCTGTTCTTCTCTTCCTTGTAGTTAAAATTCCTTACCACTGTTAAAGGCAGGCTGCACTTATACAGTGACGGAATAAGTACATCAGAAACTATTTCACTGTTAGCAAACCCACTGCTGTGGACCGCATTTGGGCATCGTTTGAACCCCAGCCCCAAACGCTCACGTACTGAAATCTCAAAGTGACGGTATTAGGAGGGGTCTTCGGAGGGGGTAATAAGGACATGAAAGTAGATCTTTCATGAATGAGATTAACAGCCCTATAAAAAGACATGAGGAAGCCAGTTCCTCCCCTCCCTCCCCTTCACCAGCCTTCTTCTCTATGTGAGGATAAAATGAGAAAGTCACTATTAACAAACCAAGAAATATGACCTCACTACACGCGTGCCCTGATTTGGACTTCCCAGGCTCCAGAACTGCAAGAACTGAATTTATAGTGCTCAGACCTCCGCATCTAGGGCATTCTGTTACTGCAACTGGAACTGGTAAGATACCCACATCTGCTCACTACACCCTTGCTATACACACAGCTTTACCAGAAACAAAACCCAATACTCGAACGCCCACCTAACTGAATCCCAAATTTCCTCCCAGGAGGTTCCATATCCAAGTATAAAATAGAAAAATGTTCTTGATAACCCCCACATCAAATCTCCTGGATGTTGCTCTCATATTTTATCCAAATAAATTTTGGCCTTCAATCTCTGAGATTTTTGGAACCACAACTGTTCCCAACAGTGCTATTCTTTCCTGCTAGCTTATATCTCTCATATGTCATGACTCCAATCACTCCCTGGCTAAAAATCTTTCATAGCTGGCCCACTTGTTCCTTCGTTATATGCAAAGAGCAAATCACACTCCTCAGTCAATGTGTCTGCCTTCGCTGTTCCTATACCCAGACTGTTCAATAGTATGCACCTCAAAAAGAGCTCTCAGTACCACCTGGTAATGTGTTTATAGAACCCAAGTCAATTCTGTTATTTCATATATTCATACCTTTACTATTCCTCTTTACTATTCTCCTCTTCCTAATTATTCCCATATTAGAAAAATGTCTACCTATTGTCAGTTGCCAAAAGAAATTACATTTCTATCACTTCTATTTGTTGAAAGAATGAAAGAGAAGCACAGGCAACCAGTAGAGAAATAAATATTTGATAGAAAAATTCAGGATAAAAAATTCTTTCAGATACTCAATTGCCATGTTTGTGATCTTCAAATTTAAAACAAAAACCTAACTTAGGAAAATTAAAACTGGTATGTTGTTTCTGTCATCTTAAGGGCCTCAAGATACTACTAAAAACTAATTGCTGGAGCTGGAAAATAGAAAAGACAATTAGGTGTATACAGGCTCACAGAATCTACATAATTAACACATTACTGTGTTTGCATACCCCATTGCTAGGATGCAAAAACTTCGTCTTGCAGACATACAATGAAGAAATTAAACACAACATCAAAGAGATGCATACAATACAACCAAGTGGGTTTTATTCCAGGGTTGTATTGATAGTTCAACACACTCAAACCACATAAGAAGAAATGCGAACAAAACTCACAGTCATATGAATAGATGCACAGTATGTGTGAGAAAATCAAACATCCACTCATGATAAAAATCCTAATGGAAATAGCTATAGGAGGACCTTACCTAAATCCGATAAAAGCCATTTATGACAGACCAACCACCAAAATCATATTAAATGAAAGACGAAAGCTTTACTCTAAAATCAGGAATAAGACAAGGATGTCCACTATCACCACCCCTGTTCAATGCAGGACTCAAGCCATTAGCCAGAGCAATCAGGAAGAAAAAGAAATAAAATGGGTATGTACAGAAAAGGAAGAAGTCATACTATCATTGTTTGCAGATAACATGATCCTCTACGCAGAAGACCCAAAAAACTCCACCAAATGATTCCTAGAATTAAAACCAAATTCATGATGAACATGACCACAGTCATCCTTCCCACACAAACACAAACATGGCTATCTTTTCTTAAGTCAGAACAAATTCAATAATGTACAGGATACCAAATTCAATAACATACACGATACAAAATCAACACACAAAAATCAATAGGGTTCCTGTATATCAATAAGGAACTCATTAAGAAATAAGGAAAACACCACCATTCACAGTAGCACCAAGAAAAAATAAAAACTTAGGAATTAACAGAATCAAGGAAATGAAACACCTCTATAACAAAAAGTACAGTACAGTGGTACTACAGTTGAAAAGCTTCTGTTTACAAACAACTGGGTTCACACACAGAAGCGTTTGGCAAAATTTTTTTATCATCAAGTGCTAAATATGACCACAGCCATCCTTCCCACACAAACACAAACATGGCCATCTTTTCCTAAATCATGGAACAAATGAAGTTTGTGAACCAAGGCACCACCGTACTCTGAAAAAGAAGACTGAAGGGGACATCAGCTAAATGGAAAAATATCTCCTGTTCCTGGACAGGCAGAACCAATACAGTCAAGACAGCCACACTTCCAAAACTGATTTAATACAATCCAAATCAAAATACCTACAGTATTCTTCACAGAAAAGAAAAAATAATACTAAAATTCTTATAAACCAGAAAAGAGCCACAGTAGAAAAAGCAATCTTGGGCAATGAAAGCCATATAGGAAGCATCACAATCCTGCACTTCAGGTTACACTACAAGGCTACAGTGATAAAAACATTACTGTCACAAAAACAGACACATGGACTGATGCAACAGAACACAGATGCAGAAACAACCCCAGACACATTCACCCGTTCAATCTTTGACAAAAGAACCAAAAACAAACACTGGATGCATGAGAGCCTAATTATCAAATGGTGCTGAGAAAACTCACTAGCTTTTTGCATGCAGAAGATTGAAGCTTGACCCATACCTCTCACTGTGTACTAAACTAAAATCAAAATGGATCAAAGATCTAAATACTAAAACTGAAATTCTTAACCCTGGAAGATAAAACAAGTAAAACTCTTAAAGTCTTAGGTATAGGCAAAGACTTTCTAAACAAAACTCAAGTTGTACAAGAAATAACAACAAGGTCAAATGGAACCTCTAGTCCTAGTTTTTTGAGGAATTTCCACATTGATTTTCCACAGTGGTTGCACCAGTCTACACTCTCACCAACAGTGGAGAAGGGTTCCTTTTTCCCCACAGCCCCTTGACCATTTGTTATTGGTTTATTTTTTGATAATAAATAGCCATTCTTTTTGGGGTGACATGGAATCTCAGCATTTTAATTTGCACCTCTCGAATGAACAATGATTTTGAACATTTTTTCGTATATCTATTTGCCATTTACACTTCGTCATGTGAGAAATGTCTATTCATTTCAGATGCCCATTTTTGGATTGGGTCTTTAAATTTGGAAGTCGGGGGTCTGAGCTTTTTGAGTTCTTTATTCTAGATAGTTCTTTGTCTGAGGAACATCTGGCAAAAAATTTTTTCCACTCTGTGGGTTCTCTTTTCTCTGTTGGTGATTTCTTTTGCTATGCAAAAGCTTTTCAGCAAGATCGGATTACAGCTTTTCATTGTTTGTAACATTTCCCATAGAACTGGGGTTTTGTTCATAAAGTCTGCCTACATCTGTGTCTTCCAAGAGTTCTACCTATTGTATCTTAGAGACCAGCAGATTTAGTGTTCTGTTTCAATATTTAGATCTTTGATTTATTTTGACATCAGTTTAGTGCATGGTGACAGATATGAGTCTAGTTTTGAACCAACAAATGGGACCATATCAAATTAAAAAGCTTCTGCCCAGTAAAGGAAGCAAGCAACAACCAAGAGTGAAGCGACAACCTACAGAAAGGGAAAAAATCTGTGCCAGCTACACCTCAAACAGAGGACTGATCTCCAGACTACATAAAGAGCTAAAAAAAAAATTAGATCCTCCGAAGTAGGAGATCCAGTCAAGAAACAGCAGATGGAATGAACAGATGCTTCTCATAAAAATAAACACAAATGGCCAATAAGTACACGAAAAAATGTTCCATTTCACTGGCCATTAGAAAAAGCAAACTCAAACAACATTGAGATTCCTTCTTACTCCAGAAAAAGTGGCAATCATCAAGAAATCAAGTAATAACTAATGCTGGTATAGCTATAGTGAGAAAGAAACCCTTCTACATTGTTGGTGGGAATGTAAACTAGTACAACAATTAGGGAAATCAGTATGGAGATTTTTCAAAAAACTAAAAATTCTGTTTCATTCAACCCAGCTACTCCCCTTCTAGGTATCTTCCCATAAAAATTAAACACATCATATTATGATAATGCATGCATACCCATGTTCATAGCAGCACAACTCATAACAGCTAAATCTTTTTGCATTTTATGAAAAGTTAAAGCAACAAAATAGTACACTGTGTATCACTATCTTCAAAATAGTTACTCAGAGTATAAGACATAGACCAGAAAGGTTCCCACAAAGAAGAAACAAACAGATAATAACACAAAATTTTCAACAAACTAAGTCAGACACACAAGCTTAAATAATGCATCATTTCTCTTATATGAGCAACTCAAAATGCAGTGTGTGTATATATCTAGATATAGATATATACACACAAATAAGAGCAAAATAGAAGAGATAAAAGCAAGTAGAAGTTCAAATATTTCCCCTAATATTTTAATATTTGTTAATTTATTTCATTTATACTAACAGCTAAATCTTGGAAGCAGATGAATACATAAAATGTAGTATCTATACATAACGGAATACGACTCAGTTTTATTTGAAGGAAAATAGATACACCTTGAAAATAAAATATTAAGTGAAATAAATCAGACACACAGGCTTACATACCACATGGTTTCTCTCATTTGAGTAATGTGAAGTACAAATAAAGAGCAAAATAAATGATAAAAAGAAACAAGGACATGGATTTTATGCAAATAGGAAGGGGCCCAAAAGACAGAAAGTGGAGGAAGTAAAGAATGTCAGGGAACATATAAAAATCAACTGTAAAAGAGACCAAGCAAATCATTCACATTTCAATTTTCCTCTCAAATTAGAATCAAATATAAAAAATCAGGGCTGGGGATTTAGCTCAGCGGCAAAAGCGCCTGCCTGGCAAGTGCAAGGTCATGAGTTCGGTTCCCGGTACCGGAGAAAAACCAAAAAAAAAAAATCAATTTCAGTTCTACCGAATAGAAATGTAGTTTCTCTGCGCAGATGGGAGAATAAAACATATTCCTAGTATTGACATAAGGAGGTTAAGATGTTTCATGTACATGTCCCGATTACCCTCAACGAAGGCAATCCTATATGCTGCAAACATGACCTAAATAATAATAATAATAGCAATAATAATGAAAATGGGGGCAGAGGATCTAGAAATGGAGGGAAGAGGGCAGAAAGGGGAAGGGGAATATAAAAAATTCAATACGCATAATTTCTTAAAAAACACATCTGAATTAGATTCCATTTTGTACGAAAGGCAAAGGGACATAACTAAGAATAAACGTAATAACAATTTACCATCATCTAATGTTTGCACTAAAAAGATGTTTTTGAAAATATTTTTTAATCTAGCACAAAAAAGCCCATGGGAAAAAGAAATCCTGAATTAATAAACAAAAGACACACCCTGCGTCTCCTCCCACTTGCTGCTTCTGAGTCCAGAGGCTCTGTTGAGCTCACAGGCCATGCTCTTCCAGTCGCATCTGTTCTGACGAGGACCACTTCTCGCTGGTCTGCATTCTATGAAAAGATTGAGAGTGAACTTTTGAAGTAACTGTGAAGAACACTGCATACTTATATTTAATTACTCAGAAAGCATAGGATAGGTTCGAGCTGTCACATAATATTACGGATTATCTTCAATTTTCTGGATTTTCATTATCCACTATACAATAAAGTGACCATAATCTTTTCAGGAAAAGGATAGAGATAATACCCGAAGCTTATTTTATTATTTGACAAAAAAAGCGTTCACAGAAGCAAACTGCAAATAAAGTTTTCATGTAGACTCTATTAAAAGATGACAAAGTACCAATACTACTAGGCTTTGTATAGCGGCAGCCACCACGTACACGACAGATGTCACGTTTAATGGACGTTTCCTAAGATTCTGCTAAAACTTGATTATACAAAATAAAGGAACTAAAAAAACTGCTAATTTAACCACTCTAATGATCCTAAATACTATCTTTTATTAACAATCTTCAAGTGATCTTCATTTCTCTGACTCCAAAAGAAGCTATATTCTACATCCTTTAAAACCATAATCTTTCCTACAAAATTTTAGCCAGATATGTCTTGTACAACACTGAATAAATTTTATTCTATGGTGAAAATGAAATATTACTTGTAAGATTCTCATATAAAATACGTAGACATTATTCAGAAATAAAAAACAATTGTAAGATCAAGTAAATTATTCACATTTCGATTTTCTTCTAAAATTAGAACTAAATATGAAAAAATCAATTTCAATTCCATTTAATAGATTTAGCTCCCCTGTGCAAATGGAAGAAAAAGATTCCTAGTATTGATCATATAGAAATGTACTTTTTTTCCCCATACAATACTAAATGGATAATGATGATTATTTATCACTGCCTTGGTGTTTTGTTTTGGTTTTCTTGCAGTATTAGGGATTAAACCCAGGGTCTTTACACTGAGCTACGCTCCCAGCCCTCATTTTATTTTTGTTTTCAGATAAGGTCTCAAAATTGCCAAGCTGTCCAGGCTGGGCTCGAACTTGCAATCCTCCTCCCTCAGGTTCCCACAGTAATAGGACTACAGGCACCTATTATGGGCACTCGTCACTACTTTTTTTTCTTGAATGCAGGTTTATTACTGTTAATTAATAAAATGTTATATTTTAAAGAATCTCTCATAGGGCATGGTGGTGCCTACCTGTAATCCCAACACTTGGGAGGCTGAGGCAGGAGGACCATCACGGGTTCAAGGCCAGCCTAAGCTACAAAGTGAGCTCAAAACTAGCCTGGAGTACATAGAAAGACCCTGTCTTTAAAATAAAATCTCTAATCTATTCATTCCCTTACCAGATAACAGAGGTGGTCAACACACTGTAATCTGGCTATTTTTTCACAGTTAAACCTGTTCTCCCCAAGGAATTTCAAATTACTAACTCCAACAAATAATTACTCAATTATTGATTCTGTTTATTATACTCTCCAGCTTGAAACTCTTCTATGCTTTTACTCGTCTACTGCATGCATCCATTCATTCATTCCCCAAGTATTTTCTTATATGTCTCTTACTCTAGTGGCCAAAAAAGGATAGTCCTTGCCTTCCAAAAGTTTATAGCTTAGTGAGGGAACTGCTCTCTATATGAATTATCAATATAAAGATACCTTCACTTTCTCCTCCATTTGTAACTCCCCTTCAAATGCTGATGATTCTATTTCTTGGTTTCCAATCGACTGAAACTTAATTATCACTGGAATTGCCAAAAACGTAACTATGTTAAGCACAACCGAACTATTCACTTAAAAACCTACAGGGACCATATATCATACCAAACCAAGCATGGTCACAGGCCAAGGCAAGTTCCTGAATCACCAACCATGAAGCAGTAGTACTAATATAATGAGGTAAGTACAGTAAGTACAGACACAGTTTATAAACATTGATATCAATCACACAGAGCCATTTTATATGGACTCAATCTAAATAAAATGTCTTTATTTTATTTTTCAATAATTCATTTCTGTTGCACTTTATAAAACTCCTAGCCCATGATGGACTGGAAAACTCTAAACAGGCCTACGTCCCACATATATATAAATAATCCAGGTGCTACACCACAGTCCAGAAGCACTGTCCTTGTGCTCAACTACGAAACGAAGCATGCGGCCTCACAGAATGCTGTTACCAAATAATTTCAGCTACAGTTGTTATCACTAGATCACAACCCTTTCAGTACCTATAAATCTACTTGTAATTTTTTGCCTTTGCCACTTCTGCAAGGCCAAAGACCAAGCTACACTCTACCTGATAGCTATATGGCCTAGCACCATGTCAAACAACTGGGCATACCAAATAAATGCTCAATAAATGGGATTAAAAACTTTGTACCTCAAACAGATTAATATACTTCCAAAGCAAACCACTCTTTTTCCCTTTTAACTGCCTCTTTCCCCCTTTGTCTACTTTCTTCTCTGTAGGTCTGTTGTTACAGAACACCTGAAGTTGGTCTGTTTTGGTACCTAAGACAGAGTGTGTTTCTACCCACTTGCCACTGAAACAGAAGATAGAAATGAAAAGTTCATTCTACAAAGAAAACAGGCAAAAACATTTCCATCATCTACGCGATTTACTAATTTCTCTCCAAGGAAAGCATAAACACTTTTTTGACATAAGGAGAATCTATAAAAATCTTTCCATTTTCAGAAGAATGCCAAGTGCCCCCAATTTTTTAAACAATCTCCACAACTGCAGTTTGTGATATAAAACTACACTTTGAAAGCTTTTGACTGCTTTACTGTAAACATATTAAATGAACCCTTTTATTAAAAAATCTCAAAATATTCATGAACCACTCATTCATTACCCAAAAAACAGCTCTCTGGAGAATGCAAATCATGAATTATTCTAAGGAAGAGAGGAAAAATAAAACACCTTACATAGTTATAAAATCAATTTGCTAAGCAGAGATGTATTTACCCTATTAGTATTTATAATATTTATGAGAAGTAAATAATTTTCTCTCATAAAGTACATTATTGCTTTTATAGTAACAAAGAACTGTATTTACTAGCAAAACATGCCTCAGGGTCTAGTCTTCCTAAATTTCCACTTAACCCAAGAGATATTTATGCAGTGCCTGCCTGGCAAGCATGAAATCCTGAGTTCAATTCCTGGTATCCCCCTCCACCAAAAAAATTGTCCAACAGGTATTTAAACTTAACCATCTTTCTCACCTTCCTAAGACAAAGACCAAGCTGCACCACTTTGTGTATGAGGACCGCCACCGTGTCAAACAACAGCAGATACTCAACGAACACTTAGTAAGTGAAATTAACTAACTAGTGCTTCACAGAGATTAATTATACTCCAAAGGCTAACCTACTTTCCCCTCCATACTGGTGCCTCGGTTCCCAAATTCAACTTCCATGAGTCTGGTCACAAACTGAACTGGACAAAAACCAAGCTGAACTTCCCCATAAGGTCAACATTGAACCTAACCACTGAATTTGATTTGGTTCAGATCCAACTCAGTTTGTGACCAGAATTATGGAAAGAATCAAGTTCATGAACTGAGATAGCACTGTATTTCCTTCTTCTACTCACTTTCTACTTTCTGTTCCTCGAGCTGGCCAAAAGAAATTCCACTAAGTTTTTGTATTTGAGTACCCCACACAGAACTATCAAGGAAATTTGAAATACTAAGGTCCCAATTAGCAATCACATTAATACAGAATATGAGGTCTGTTTAAGAATCTGTATCAGAGTTAGCAAATTGTGGTCCAGAGGCCAAATGCAACCTGCTATTTGTTTTTATTCAGTCCATGAGCTAAGAATGGTTTTACATTTTTAAGTGGCTGGAGTGAAATCAGGAGTATTCTGTGACAAAAATTTTTTACAATTCTAATTCTAGCTGGGTGTGGTGCACGCCCTTAATCCCAGCACTCAGGAGGCTGAGGCAGGAGGATCATTGTGAGTTCAAGACCAGCCTGGGCTACAAAGTGAGCTCAAGGCCAGCCTGAACTGCATAGCGAGACCCTGTCTCAAAAAGACAAAAAAAAAACCTAATTCTATTTGTCCACAGTTTTATGAGCACATAGCCACATCCATTCATTTATGTATTATCTCTGGCTGCTTCCATTCCACCAGCAGTTCAGTCAGCACTAATGAGTTGTCCTTCAGTAGGTGAATGGGATTTAAAAAAAAAAGAAAAACCTGTTGACACCTACAGACTACAGAATATTACTCAGAACTAAAAAAGAAATGAGTGCATCAAGCCATGAAAATACATGAAGTAACAGTAAATGCTTATCACTAAATGAAAGAAGCCAATCTGAAAAGACGACCTACTGTATGCCTGCAATATGACATGCTGGAAAAGTCAGGACTACGGAGGCAATAAAAAGACCAGTGGCTGCCAGAATGCAAGGGGCAGGAAAGGATAAAGACAGACCACGAAGGACTTCTAAGGCAGCGAGAACATGCTTCATGGTATTCCAATGGTGTGTATGCGTCAACACACATCTGTCCAAACCTACAGAATGCACAACAGTAACAGAGGACACTAACGTAAGCCATAGCCTTTGGGTCACGCGATACGTCAGCGTACGTTTGTCAAGTGTGACAAACGTACCTCTAGTGGGAGATGCTGATAAGGGGAAAGAATATCCACACAGAGAAGCAAGGGTATATGGGAAAGCTCTACTGAGCGGAAATACCTTCAAGCTCAATTTTGCTGCGAATCTAAAACTGTTCTTTAAAAAATTAAGCCTTTAAAAAAACAGTCTTCAGGGCTGGGGATGTAGCTCTGTGACAAGAATGCTCATCTAACGTGGGAGATCCTGGGTTCATCTCTAGCACTGCAAAAAAGAAAGGGAAGGAGAAAAGCGAGGGGCGGTGGGGAGGGGAGGGGGAGAGAAGGGCAGGAGAGAAGAGAACAGGAAAAGAAAACAAAAGTGAAATGAAATGAAATGAGATGAGAAAAAAGGAAACTGATGGTTCAGCTCCCTGGTGAAGCACTTGCCTAGCACATACAGACCTGGGGTCAAACTGCATCGCCTCAAAAATTTTAGAAGAAGTATTTTGAAAGAAGTTTAAAAGAAGGAAAAGTTGCAACTATTAAGATGAGTAAAAAGGCCTCACGAAGAAAGTAAAGGCAAGCACTACGAAGCGGGCAAGCCTCAGCAGGGCAACACCTGCACACAGAGTACCCGTCAGAGCCAGGCAGGGCACGGGTAGAACAGCTCTGGAGCCAGTGCTAGAAAATGGAGCTACTGTGTGGGGCGCTGTACTGCAGGAAGATCTGCTGCTTACTGCCGTGAGCCCTAAGATACCAAAGCAAGTTTCAGAGCACAAAATTTTCACGAGCTCAAGGACCAAGCAGTGCTGAAAACTCAGCAGGGCAGAAGTGTGGAAGACAGATGAACAGTACACCTACTTTTAAGTATCTTCCTTTACTTGCCCTTTTTTTCTTTTTTGCCTTTTAAAAGTGCTGCTGAGATTCAGATCCAGGGCCTGAGCTACACCTGCACTAAGCTACATCCCCAGTCTTTTCATGTTTCAGAGACAAGGTCTCACCAAGCCACTAAGTTCCCCAGGTTGGGCTTGAACTTGTGATTCTCCTGCCACAAACTCCCACAGAGTGGGGATTACAGGTATGTGCCATCACACCTGGCTGTTCCCTTTCTAAGCTGCTTGTAATTTCTCAGTCAATGTTTTCTTCGTTTTCTGGGGGGTTTTTGTCTTTTTGAGACAGGGTCTCACTATGCAGTTCAGGCTGGCTTCGAGTTCACTTTGTAGCCTGGGCTGGTCTCAAACGTAGAATGACCCTCCTGCTTCAGCCTCCCGAGTGCTGGGACTATAGGTGTGCACCACCAGGCCCAGCTTTCTCAGTCAATTTCATCTTAAGGTATTCACCTTTTTAAATATCAGCTATTACAACTTAGTTTTAAAAACCCAATTTCATATCCATCCTATCTATATCATTTTCTAAGTCAACAATGATCTCAGCCTGAAGAAAACTCTCCGGAATTCAATTTCAGACTGACAACAAACTATGTAAATTAATCTTTAAGAAGAGTTCTTTAAAATCAGTAATAAATCTGATTCTATCTCAAACTTGACTCTCAAAAATGGTTGCTGACTTTATATTTTGGCTTCAAAGAGTCAACACAGAAACGTATTTCACGAGTTTAAATCTTTGTTCCCATTTACACTTCCTTTCACGAATCCATATGGCCACCCTATGCTTGCAGCTACTCAGATGAAAGACCTTGAAGTCCTCTCCACCACCTCTCTTTATCTCATTACCCATCTACCGCCACCCTCATCTAACCCATCATAAAAATCAGGTCAGTTCCCATTTCAAAATATATATAAAAAAAAAATTTTTTTTTTTAAGGCAAGGTCTCATTGTGGAGTCTAGGCTGGGCTTGAACTCACTTATGCAGCCCAGGCTGGCCTCAAACTCACAGCGATGGTTCTGCCTCAGCCTCCCAAATGCTGGGATTACAGGCAAGCGCCACCTTGCCCATCATAGAAAATATTTATCCATGACCAAAATCCAACCCTTCTTAACCATCTCCTCTGCTGTTATCTTGGTCAAACTCAGCACCGTTTCTTATCTACATTATCTTGAAAGCACACCAAGACTCCAGCTCTGCCCTGTTTCTCTATTACTTCCCAAGTGAAATATGATCTCACCTCTCGACTCTCTCCACCCTGCGGCTTCCTTCTCCCTCATTTTTCCTCCTAGGACTCAGACAAATCCCCATCTCTGCGCCTTTAAACTCTCTACTGCCTATGCCTAGAGCACTCTTCTCTCAGATATCCACAGATACGCTCTGTCACTGACTTCAAGTCTTTGCAGTGATTCAGTGGGAATCAGCTGTGGACCCCGAGACGCTCAAGATCCCCACGACCCTCCCATAGACTATATAACTTTTTAAATAGTGTATCATTTATGTAGTTATTATTTACTCATTTTATTGTTTCTCCATCCCTACCCAAATGAAAGTTTCATGCACACGAATGATTCTACGTCTTGTTCACAAGGAAAAAACAGGCTCAGATACAGACACAACTCATGTGAAAATACTGCCGCTGCAAAGTAATAATATTACACGAGGTAATCATATGCCTACAGTTAACATTTATTACGTACCTCTTCTGGTCCTGTTGTTTTTGATATTTGTGTTACCGTTTCTTTTAATTTATTAGCCTTTTCAAGTTGGGCTTTAAGTTGTGCAGCCAGTTCCTTCAAAAAGAATTAAGTGTGATATGCTGTTTACTTGTCCATTGCAGGGTATTACAAATTCACACAATAAGAAGAAAACAGTATGCCATAAAACCATACAGCTATCAGCTAACTTCCATCACCAACTCACGGCTCAGTATATATTATGTGTTAATGAACTTAAGTTCATTTACAACACCTCAAATAACTGTGGCATTGGGAGGTAATCATTTCAAGGTCTCCATCCAAGGAGATGGAAAAAACATAAGCACAAGAATAGTTTTAGAAAGAACATTTTCACAATTCATATATATTGTAAACTCCCAATACTTAAAACTTCAATTATTTGTGAAAAGGAAGCCATCACAAGATTTAATATATTATTTTCTTCACTGTTGATAAGTGATTTAGAAAAAAATTGTGAATATATTTCACTGGACTCTAGAAAATCTATAGGAATTTATATAAAATGAATCACATGTAAAGCAACAAACCAACTGCACATAGAGGCAGATGTCTGTGATCCAAACACTTGGAAGGGTGAGCCAGGTGGATCACCATGAATGTGAGCCAGCTTAGGTGCTACTACTGCGTTCAAGACCGGTGTGGGCTACATAGGGAAACTCCGTCTCAAAAACACTGACAAACGTAAAAAGCAATAAACCACAAATACAATGAATAAATTTATATGACATAGCATAGCATGTTCCACTACAATAGCTCCATGAACACTGAAACACATTATTTTAACCTAAGAACTTCCTACTAGGGGGCCTCTCTTTCAAAATTTTAACTAATTCTCCTGTGCTTTCAAAACTCAAGCTTTACTTTCCTTGCTAGTGCTATTGCAGCTGGTTTCTCTCTCAGACTTACTTTCTCACTATTGGTGGTGTTGCTCTTGGTTTATCTCTCTCAGCAAGTTCTGAGCTGAGCTGAAGTGTTACCAAGGACCAGATTCAAATATACCAGCATGTGCAAAACATGCCTGCTAATAATCTAATGGACATATGAACTAACAAAAGCAGAAATATCATATTAGCTACCTTTGTTCTACTATAGTACTATCAGTACTATACTGATAGCATACAAAGCAGTATACTATACTGGCAGTATACAAAAGATTAATGAAATATCACTTATATTTTAGTTTAAGATTACTACATAAATATGACCATAGTGACTCTAGTGTCATGGCATTGAAAGCTATCTAGCTTTTATATCACGAGTAATTTAACATGACTTAGTATTAATAGGCAGATAAAAATATAATGAACAAATGAATGTAAGAATAAATAAAGGTACCTCTTCTATTCAATCTGAGGTAAATTAGTCCTAAACTTTATTATAAGAATTGAATGTATTAATCCAAGCACACACATCATCTTAAATGGTTGAATAAATGAATCAACCACCTTTTCTTAAGAGCTCTTCTTTTTTTTGTCTTCTTTTTTGGAGACAGGGCCTCACTATGCAGTTCAGGCTGTCCTTGAACTCACTCTATAGCCCAGGCTGGCCTTGAACTCGCAGCAATCCTCCTGCCTCAGCCTCCTGAGTGCTGGGATTACAGGCATGTGCCACCACACAAAGCTAAGAGCTCATTTTTTTAGTCCTTAAGTAAATTATTCTCAGAAAGCAAGAAGCATTCTTAATAATAACTAAAAATGCAAGCATTTTTAGAAATGTTCCTAGAAAACACGAACATCTTTAACTCCTTCAAATATGTTCCATAAATTAACACAAAATAAAGCCAGCAGAAACAATAACAAAGCATGCAGTTCTCTGGGATCATAAATTTCAGAAATATGGTACAGGAGATATCAGTTTAGAAAACACTATGGTTTACAGAAATATTCAGACGTTTAAAGAATTAACAAACACCAATTATTTTGAAAGTGTACGACATGCCCACTACTGAGGAACTTTCAAGAGTGCTCACAGCAAGTTTAATCATCTTCTCCACAAGAACAACACGTGAGTCTTACCATGTTCCCCATCATCTCTGCCTTAATAATCTTGGCCCCCAACTTGTTCTTCTCATCAACACTCAGGGCACGGACGGACTCATCCCCCGGGCTAAGGAGGAAGGGGACAGAGAGAGAGCATATGAAATACAGGTGCAAGTAACAACACCAAGACTCAAGTCTATCTTAAACGACCTCAATAAAACATTCAGCACCAAAAGTAGATCAACATTCTAATATATAAAAGCTGGACACAGTGTTCTACCACGAATCAATCAGTACTTCGAGGTTCTATTACACCGCCAGTATAGCCTACGGCAGTTACAATAATAACTGACCAAGTCCCAGTAACAACAAGATAAGCAATTTAAAAATCAACTACTATTTATTATTTAATAATCCCATATTCATTCTAAAACAAAAACACCAAAACCAGGCCACAATTTTAAGTATCTTAGAAATCTCATTCAATGCGATAATCTAAAAAACTATCACCTGGAGATGTTTAACCACATTCAAAGAATGAAAGCAACGATCATATGTCCTTTTGTAAAGTCAGTCCAGAATTAATCAGACACATAAACTAATGTAAAATGAAGAATCTTTGGCTTATGCTACCAAAGCCTCACAGACAAAAAGAGAAATTTCCAGCCAAAAGTTACACTGTCCCAGCTTACTGCTTTAAAATGGAGTTAAGGCTACAGAACATGGAGCATGGGCTCAGGAGAGCCTGAAGGATTTCTGAGTAAAAGATACACAGCTACGAGACCAAGAATTCCAAGGCAGCTGCAGTTCACTGAACAGAGTATTGGAGTGAGAGAATTCTAAACGACTCCCCTTGAGTGTTCAGAAGAAAATAACCAGAGTCAGGGAAAGAACTATTCCAAAAGGTTGGAGCAACAGCATTCAGCACCCCTGGAAACAGTGCCTGGTTCCACTAGTGAGACTAGGAAACCCCATAATTCAGAAAGTACAGAGTAGAATATCAAGGGTATCGCTTCAACAGTGGGAAATAATAAGCCCTAGACTAAACATTGCTCTGGGTCCACACTACGTATGGCAAAAGCAAGAGTAAAACAAAAAAAATCAAATGGTTTGCAATTAATTAAGTCCCCAAAACCAGTCCCCCCAAACCCATATTTATAGAAATTCAAATACATCCAGCAACCTATGTGATAAAATATGTAATACCTAGTATTAATATCCAAAGTAGCAAAATTATAGATTTAAACTTAATTACAGGTTGTGCATTCCTAATCAAGAAATCTGAAATCTGCCAAGGACATGGCTCAGTGGCACAGCCACCTGCCCGGCAAGAGCACAGTCCTGAGTGCAATTCCCTGGTACCAAAAAAAAAAACCTGAAATCTGAAATGCCCCCAAATCTGAAACTTTCTGAGCATTGGCATGATGCTAAAAGTGGAAAATTCCAAACCTGATTTCATATGACAGCTTGCACTTGAAATAGAGGCATACTAAAAATGTATAAAATTACCTTCAGGCTGTGAATATAAGGTACATATGAAACATGAATGAATGTTTACACTTACGTCCCATCCCCAAAGGACTTCATGTGCACTCAAATATTCCAAAATCTGAAAATGTTCAAAACTCAAAACACCTCTGGTCCCAACTTTGGATGGGATCCCATTTTGGATAAGAGATAATCTACCTGTGTATCAGTAATAACACTACATACAAATGGTCCAGACATCTAAATTAAGATTTACGAGGTGGATTTTAAAAAAAGCAAAAGCCAACTATAAAAAAAATTCTGTAACTACAAATACATAAACATGTTACACTTAAAAGAATGAAATAGATACATCACGTTGACTAACAAAATAAAATTGAAATGTCTACATTAATATTAGACAAATAACAGTACATAGCCAAAAAATATTAACAAGGACAAAAAGGGTCATTACATAAGAAAAAGGAATAATTCACCAAAAGCACATTATGAACCCCTAAATGAGTATGTAACTAATAACAGAGCTTTAAAATGAAGTAAAACCTGACAAATCTGCAATGAGAAAGAGACACACCCACAATTAAAGTCATACACTTTAACATCTCTTCTTCATACTTGATAGAATAAAGAGAAAACTGGCAAGAATGCAGAAAACTCCATCCATTAAATGGCCTGATGGCCGTTTCTGGAACACTCCAGGCAGCATCAGTGAAACACACACTCTTTCCAAGTATGTACAAAACATCTGCCAGAAGAGACCATATTCTGAGCCATAAAATCAATGTCAATAGATCTAAAAGGATCCAGTCATACAAAGTATATTCTCTGACCACAAAGAAGTTAAACTGGAAATCATTACCAAGTGTCTTCAGAAAATCCTCAACTACTTGAAAATTGAATAGCATTCTTATAAAGTAACCAATAGGTCAAGAAAGAGTTAAAATGAAATTACAAAATATTTTGAGCTGAACAAAAATGTAAATGTAGTATGTCAGGATGTGTGGAATGCCATGAAAGCATTACTTCAGGACAGCACGTATTAAAAAGGGAAAAATCTCAGCTTACACCTAAGAAAGCAGAAAAAGAAGAGCAAATTAGACTCAGTGTACGCAGAATACAAGAAAAAATAAAAGTCAAAGTGGAAATACATGAACCAGAAAACAGTCAGACATGGTGGGAGGCCAAAGCAAGAGGATCATTTGAATCCATGAATTCAAGACCAGCCTGGACAACACAGCGAGACACATATAATGTGTATACACGGAAAGCTGGGGTAATTACACTGCTGATGTCTATAAGTTTAACGAAAGGACCAGTTAATGCTTAAATTTTATTTTTTAATTTTTTTTTTTTCTTCCTGACCAATTTTGCATGTTTATATCTGGTAACCTGAACAACTAATTTGAAGACAACAATGTGCAATGTAACAACCACTGTTGAATTCCTACCATCTTGTTTAGTGACGCTCTGTATCATTTCTAATATTTTTACAACTTGTTATTCTCTTTAATTGTTTGATCAATCTTGCATTTTTACATCTGGTAATCTGGGCAACTTTGTTGAAAATAACAATATGTAATATAACAACCACTGTTAATTCCTATCATTCTTGTTTTTGTGTTGTTTTGTTTTTGCCTTTGTTGTTACTGTTTTTTATTCTCTTTAAAATAAAAAAGTTACCAATTAAAAAAACCTTCATTAAGACACTATATAATAAAAAGAACTAAAATAACAAAATTCAATGAAAATAAAAGCTGCTCACGCCAACAGGAGAACGGAGAAACAAATTGCCTTATATCCATCAGTCAATAAAAACGAATAAACTATTAAAATATGTGCCAATATCGCTGAAGCTCAAAGAAATTATGTTGAGTGAAAAAAGTCAGAGCTCTCCCTACAAAAAGAGAGTGCACAACGATATGATCCAACTTACATAAGACTTTAAAAATGCAAACTTGTACATAATTAAAGAGCCCAGCTAGGTGCTTTCTGCGAGTGGGGGATGGGAAAGAGGGACAGGAAAGATGGAGAACACCAGGAGATTCTTAGGAGTAATAGTTTTATAAAAATAAACATGTCTCAAAACTTACCAAATTGTATACTTATACATATACAGTTTATCATGTAATTATATCTCAGTAAAGTTGTTTTTAAACATCCTCAAAGGACAGCAATAAAGTTAAAGGCAGAAGATATTTTAAACACTATCATCCCTCCAGTATATATACCTATGTTACCAGTTTTTCTGAATTCCTAGGCTTTCTCTTACTTTATTGAAATTAACCTATGTTCTCAAAATACCCTCTAAATAAGGACTAGCAAAATATATAACCTAAAACTCAAACCAAAAATTGACCTATTAACCATGTATGAGAATGATTTTAAGTTGTGAATTCTTTGCCATAAAAAATATGTATTTTAACACATAGCATTTGTGTTTTTAAAAATGTCATGATTTTTACTCTAGCAATGACTTCTCATATTCGTACAAGGAAAGGCAATATTCTGGTGCTTAGACTAAGACACCTGAAGCACTTGAGGTAAGGCACCATTAGAAAGTAATATATTTTCCTTCCCCTAATGTTCTTTCGGTCTGTATCTTAAAAGCAATTAAAACAAACAGTAGGGACACTTCCTGAGTATAATCAGAAGAACATTATAACTTTTTATATGCCTCTACAGATTGAGTTATTGCTTATCTCATAAGCTGTACTTTTTGTATGAAATTTTTTTCAGTAATTTTTTTAAAATTAAAATTCTGAGGTACATGTCGTTTTCATTGTATTATAAACGTAATTTATTTGAATTCTATCAGTTCACTCATATTTCTGTAACTTTTTATTACCTAATCAACAAACTTTTTCTCAATTTGCCTTCTTTCTCATTCAATCAATTTTCCAAATGCTCTTGTTGAAAATTTACTGCTCTTATTCATTAGGTAGAAAGTACAGACATTAGTGTAACTTTTGCATGTTCATACAATGCAAAACAAAGCAACCACAGCTCATGCCCTGTCCAAAGAGAATCAGTTCGATTTTGTCTCCGTCAAGTCTGCCTGAGCTAGGGTCTACCTTTCAAACTACTGTTTCCAAAGTCAGAAACTTCTTTGCTGCTTTTTCTTTGGCCTTTTCTGCCTTTCTTTACTTTCCAAGTACTCAAGCACCTGACCAGACTTTCCTTTCCAATGAAGTTGTATAATTTTTTTATCTCAACATTAATTAGCAAAGATTGGGCTGGGGATTTAGCTCAGCGGCAAAAGCGCCTGCCTGGCAAGCGCAAGGTCGTGAGTTCGGTTCCCGGTACCGGAGAAAAACCAAAAATAAATAAATAAATAAATTAGCAAAGATTTTAAAAAAAAAAAAAAAACACGTGAGGGAAGGTAAAATGTGTAAGGTCATGATTTCCCTAATATCTCTCCCAACTTTTACTAAGGAACCATCCAACACAAGATTTCCTGCGAAACTGTTATTCAGAAGGTAAAGCATCTTGCAAGTAAACAATTTAATAAAATCAAAAGAATGAGGGACCACCACCTTTCTTCAAGTCACCCCTTTCTTTTAAGCAGAGGCTTTACGGATATTAACATTAACACCAACTACTACATCAAATGTTTCCATGGAAATAAAATTCATGCCTATTAACAGATATAAGTAAAAATCAAAGTATAAATACCTACAGACAACTAATCAAATGAGTTTCTAATGTAAACCTTTCATTAAACACTAAAAGTTGTGTCTTTATAATGCCAGCTGTTTCCTTCTTCCTTGCAAGAAATGGTTAATCCCTTTCAGTATTATGAGAAAAGGAGTTTTAGCCGGGTATGGTGGTGCACGTTTGTAATCTCAGCACTTGGGAGGCTGAGGCAGGAGAATCGTTCTGAGTTCGAGGCTAGCCTGGGCTACAAAGTGAGCTCAAGGCCAGCCTGAACTGCAAGACACTGTCTCAAAAAGACAAAAAAAAAAAAAAAAAAAAGAGTTTTATAGTCAGACTGACATGGATTCAAATTCAGACTCTACAATTACTAGCTTTACCAGACAAGTTATATTAACCTCTCCAAGGCTATAAAATCAAGAAAATCATTAATACCTATTTTCATATTACTGGAACTAAGCATAGAAATATAATTACAGTAGCTGCAATAACATAATGACATTCAAACACAGTACCTACCCTCATAATTACTTGTTTCGTTTGTCACTGAGAGCCAATTACTGAGTCACAGGAGAAATCTTCCAACCAGTTCTACATTCACCAGACCTAAAATAATCCAATGATGAAATCTCTTCCCCCAAAAAAGGTTAAAAATAAGAATGCCTTCAGCTGTGCACAGATACAAGGAAGTAACCACACCTTTTCAGAAGTAAGAGTTTCATCACTGGCTCACGAGTGCCAGCTCAAGCTCCTCCTCGCCTTCTGTACATTCACTCCTGTGATTCCGAACTTCTTGTACACTACAGCCTCCCAATCAGTATATTTACCTCAAATCTCTTCTGTTTTTCAGACTAACCTTCACATGTGTCTGGAAGCTTTTCAAAATGTAAATCTTATCTGTTTAGAACCCTTGAGATATTTATCGATCATAAAAAAAAATAGTTACGCATGACTTCTGGAGCCATTTATAAGGTAATAAAACTTGTAACATTCTACCTGCCTTCCTCTTACTTAACCATATTTTGTAAGTTACCGAGAAGCTATCATATGCTATCTACCAGGATTTAGGTACAGATCAGAAGGAGATACATCCTGCTCTCAGGAAGGCAGCATATCACACATTCTAAAATACCACTGCGTACACTCAATTACACCACACTGCTTGTATCTCCAGCTTCCCCTCCCCAGTTGGTTTCATTTCCTACTTATTAATAAGTTCATCCTTCAGAAAGACCTCACAACTTTGTCTACAACTTTCCTTGATCCTAGTACCATAACATTATCCCAGAAGAGGTCATTTTTCCTTCCAAGGTATAACTACTATTAACTGTAAATACCTATATTTCTACTTATAACTGTATTATGGTACTACATGTACCATATCTGTTTAGATTATCTATATGACTGCCTCTCCTATAATGAGCTCCTTAAAAGAAAATCTGTTAGAATTATTTTTATACCACCAGATCTAGGAAATAAAAGCACTCAGAAAATGTAAGATGAATGGCAGACAAATGCGTAAGTCATTCTAATGGTATGAAGTACAATCTTTAAGGCAGAAATAACTATCCCTTGTTACTCCATTCCTTGTTATGCTGATTCAGACACATTTCTTCAAATCTGAATGAAAGTACAAATAGAAAAACTTGACTAATAAACAGAAAAGAAAGTAATAAACATTTGCCATTACAAGTATGGTTGACTTTACCTGTACTTAAATAAAAATCAAGGGAAACATCTGTTTCTCAACCAAATATTAACTTGGCAAAGATTTCTTAAAAGTTCAGTAATACTATCAGCAAAGAAGGAGAGGAAAAGTCATTCTCCTGTAAGCACAGTAGTATCAGATACCCATTTCTTGTAAAAGGTCATTGACCTTGGATATGGTTAAAGTGTTATCTAAATACTTGTCAGATATAATACCTAACACTCAAGTTTAAATTTAAGGTAAACAACAAGGTCTTTTCTCATAAGTATGTCCAATTATTGCAAGAGAATTACTATTTTTTATTCACTGACTGTGACAGCTAGGCTTAGCTATGCCAACTTGATTGGCTTAGAAGCCCCCTAGAGCTTTAGTGAAGTACACCTCCAGATGTGTGTGAGTGTGTCACAGAGGCACAATCTTGGGTACTGTACAAGTTCTGAGCCCCTTCCTCTCTGGTACTAGTGCCCTGCTTTGTTTTCCCAGCCTCAATGAACTTAAGCATCTTTACTCTACAAGGCCCTTCCACCATGATGTCATGAGTCAGATGACCATGGCCTGAATCGCATGAAACCACGAGCCAGATCCAACCTTTCCCCCTCTAAATTCTAGGTGCTGGCTACTGCGCCTCAGAGGCCAAGAAAATAACTACTGCACTAATCCAGTTACTCCAGTTACACGACGCTGCGCAAGTCATCACCTCAGTTCTCTGATTTCCACATCCGGGAAACAACAGGCTCAGACTGTGGTTCTTCTAGTTCTAAAGTCAGCTCTATGATTTTTCTTCTAAAACTGAAATTCATGGGGCTGGGGATTTAGCTCAGTGGCACAGCACCTGCCTGGCAAGCAGGAGGTTGTGAGTTCAATTTCCGGTACATGGGAAAAAAAAAAAAAAAAAAAACTAAATCTGAAATTCACCGGTTCTAAAGTACTGTACAATTTCAGCACTTTTTAAATTCAACATTAATTCCCAAAATAATATTAACAGGCTCTGACAATAATTTACTGCATCTTACCAAGCATTCTTCAATGTGCTAACATTGTCTTTCTTTAACACAACTCTATATGTTCAGACATACCTTTCTCTTTCATACATAAGTCGATGATTATTAGATTTTTCTTTCCCTGTCAAGCCAATCACAAAATTTATGGAAAGCTTCAAACAGTTCTTACATCAAAATCAACAAAACTAACAAATACTGTCTTCAGAGAAAAAACTAACAAATACTGTCTTCAGAGAAAAAAAAATTACTATTTCAGGTATAGTAGTATCTATCAGAAGCTCAGAACTTAAATACGATATACAAATATGAAACAATTCAGACAACCAGATGGAACACTAACAGTGTAAGACTACTTTGCACAATCTGCTTAGCTTCAATCACAGAAATCAAGATCTACAGATCACCCAAATGCTAAGTCAACCCTCCTGGTAATAGCAACTGGAAAGTAGAAGTAGTCAGTACCCCAGGTACCTGGAGTAAGCCCTGGGGATTTAGCAATTATATATACACACACCCATAGACACTCTCTAATCCCTGCCACATTGAGTACAGTGAATTTCACCTTCAGTTCCAAGAAAGCAAGCTTTTACCTAAATTAGTACTCCATCTGACTGGGGCTCCACCCCTCAGTCCAGACTGTGCCAGATCAGTCTTCCTTAAATTACACACTGTGCCTATAAAGCACTGCTCTGGGCAGAGCCATTAAGGAAAGCAACTTGCCAGGAACACCATCCCAAACCACAATGTTTGTATCTACTGTTACCACTGATTTCTATTATTTCCTAAAACCTATTACCTTAGCGTCTCACTCATTTGCTAGCATTTTTAACATATTTTAATGATCATCAAAGTATAACTTGTCAACATTCTTTGGATAGTTTTTTTGTTTTTGTTTTTGTTTTTTTTACTTCTATCTCCAACAAAGCCAGTCCTATGGCTAAATCAAGATTTCCCAGGGTTTACTGTGCTCAATCTGGATTTCTTTATCTTCTCAGTCCTATATAAATACAACAGATACAGCAATAACAAAACCAGTAATTCATATCTATTTTCCTAATCATTATGGATAGAACCACTACCATACGTATTTCACCTGTAAAACTAACATTATATTTGAAATCTATCAAACGCACAAGTAGATGCTTTCTTCTTTACAAAACTACCACATAATCTACCTCCACAGGATCTCTGGCATATGTTCATCACTACATATTTGGACTATGGTACCAAATTTTTCCTTAATTTTATAGACTTCCTGTGGATGTACAGTATTTATGATTGAGTAATAAAGTAGTTCCTTTAAGGGTCTCACTGTGCAGATCAGGATGGCCTTGAACTTACTATGTAGCCCAGGCTAGCCTAGAACTTGCAGTAATCCTCCTGCCTCAGCCTCCCGAGTGCTGGGATTAGGAGCATACCACCACACCAGCTTACACTTTTTAAATTGTAGAACAGCAATAAATTTTGAGGAAATATAGCTAATGAATTCTTTTAGCTCTTGTTAAAAAAAAAAAAACTGTAAAATAAAGTTCAATCTATAAAGTGAAACTATTGCATTACACTGTTAAAATTACATATCTAATCTTGTCTATCAATTTTAAGAAATATATCTAATAACTGATATTCTAACACAGGTCACTTCTTCCATCTTCATGGCCTTAACAGTGATTTATTAGTTTAAAACACAAATAATAAAATACCCAGCAAATGTAGGCTTTGTGTCTTGCCAATATTCTCTCTCACTCTCGGCCGGTAACTTTTCTCCCAAGTCTCCCGAAACGTGTCCACGGTCAGCGCTGCTACTTGTCTCCAATGGTTCTTTACTTGAATGTTTGTCTCCTGCCTCATCAGATTGTCTCCGACATGTTGATCTTTCTTCATTGTTTTCCAGGGGTTTTCGAAAACCACACTGCGAAGAACTGTGAGCTCCTAACGTTGATGAACTAGATGGTTCAAACTTTCTAGCCTTACTGTGAGAAGACAGTTCATCATCATCAGAGGGTCTCAAGAATTTAGCTCTCAAATTTCCTGGAGAAGCAAACTCTTGATTTTGCCTTGGATTCAATTCTCTTCTGTGTGACTGTAAAGACATGTATCTCTTATCTTTTTCATTATCATTAAATTTATCTTTACTGCTACTGTTTGTAACCTCTGTTGTATCACAACTATCTCCTGGACGTTTATTATGTTTTACTAAGTCTAATTTCCTGCTTTCTTGACTCTTTTGTACTTTATCTGAATATGCTGGTTTCCTCCACCGTTGTCTAGAATCTTCATTTTTGGATGCAGTTTTTTCAGCTTCTTCTAACTTCAACTGAAATGTTTCCATTGACTACAAAAGAGAAAAATAACACACCTAAACTTTTGAACTGTTCAGTGATGTGTCCCCCACACGCCACTGTGCCATGCCCCTCTGCCAAGTGGCACAAGGAATGAAAAACCCACGAAGACAGAGTGGAGGGAGGATATGACTCCTACAGCCATCCTCCATCAAAGCTCTCTAAAAAGTAGAAGCAAACAATGAAAACTTACCAAATAACCAAAAACATCTCAAAAGTGGAGCCACTTCAATCAAACTTTTCTGCACTAACGCAGAGCATAACATAGAATACAGTGGAGACATAACTTTTTAAGATACTGTAATATATTAATTCTGACTAGTAGTAAGATTCAAGAGGCTACCATGTGGCTATAACAAACACTTTCATAAGAAAAGGAATACCTCAGAACAAGACTTGAATAAAATGAAAGACTTGAAAACTGTATGCCACAAAAAAATGCCCAGATATGAAAAACAGAATAAAAAGCATTAAAAAGCAAATTTCCCTGGGGATTCACTATAGTTTAGGAATAATGATAAACAAATATAAGTTATAAGAAAAAAGACACAAGAACAATTGATTCTACACTATAATCTGCACATGCTAGTACTTTCAGAAAGCATAAAGATGATGGAAGAAGAACATTAATAAAAATTAATTGTGCACAAGAAAATTTTCCCCAGCTGATTTTCTAGATCAGAAGGATACATTCTAATAGTTTTGGGAGAGTGGGTGTTACACATTAAAAAAAACTCTCCTGAATCTCCAAACTCAAAAATAAAAACATTCATTAAAAAAAGAAAAACTGTATTGGTGAAAGCAATACTTAAATAAGAGTGTATACACAGATCAGGGTGGATGGATGACACATTACCTAAAACAGAAAGAAAGTAAGCTGATTCTAAAATATCATATATTGTTGCACGGCTACACTTTTCAAGAGTATACTATTGAATATACTTTATGCACACTTTAAAAAAAAAAACTTTGAAAAATGCCAAAACTCTACAGTATACCAAACTCTGGAACACACCAAAATTTTAGGAGTGGCACTCTCCAGAGGTGCACTAAGGAGGGTCTCCCACATTAAATTTCCTTAAAATAAGAAAATGTTATCTTTATATTAACACACACATTTAAGTTTTACATTCACTGTGTCAATACAAATATGCTACATAAAAGCAGAAAATGACTTTATCAGTATAACTACAAAAGATTTACTATCAGTTCAATTCAAAATTGCTTCATGGCATAAAACAAAGTTACATGCATTTAATTTTTCATATTACCATGAAAATAATAATACGTCCTTATATAAATACTCACCCCATATCTTTCAGCTACAATGTCCTCAACTTTTCTATTTTGTTTTTCAGCTTGTTCTTTCATTCTTTGGTAAGATTTTCTTAGCCAGCTTAATCCACCATCCTCTACTCCTGAGGCTAAATACCAATAAGAAATGTTAACTTACTTCTTATATGATTATCATAAAATTAGTATTTTGTTCTATTACTTCCAAAGTATAAATTGTGTATTTTATTTGAATACATAAACATATAAGCACACTCAAAATTTTAAATATTTCAGCACCTATAATGTGCAAACTATAAACCTTTGTCACTATGAAGAAAAATTATAAAACTACCTTGAAGAAAATTCTAATTTAAAAGAATGCACACAAAAGGATATTAGATATACCTATTAGTAAAATATAATTTGAAATAATTTTGAATAAGCTCTGGAAATGGTTGTTCTACCTAGTTTTCTCTAAGGAAAAAAATTTAAAATTAATGAATTAATTATTGAAAATATGGTATGCCACACATTATCAAGAAACTCTTAGTAAGGCCCTTCCAAAACATTAAATCACAGAACAAGAATTGGACATCACTACCATCACTGAGTATTCACTATATTCCAGAGGCTGTGGGAAAAGATTTTCTACTTTATTATTCTTGATAACCATAAGAAAGACCTACTACCAGGTATGGTGCTGCACACCTATAATCCCAGCATTCTGAGAGGCTGAGGCAGGAAGATTGCAAGTTCAAACCCAGCCTGGAGAATTAGGAAGACCCTGTGTCAAAATTTTTAAAAAGCTGAAGATGAAACTCACTGTGAAGGCCGTGGGCTTAATTCCAGTACTACAAAAACAGAGGAGGGACGGAGGGAGAGAGGGACAGAAAAACACTAGGACTGACTACCGTCATCACCTATTACAGATGAATAGACTGGGCTCCAAAAGGTTAGGAAATGTTCCCAAAACCACAGATCTTTCCCCAAATCACAAATTTCATAAGTAGGAATGCCAACATCTCATCCAAAGTAGAGCGACTGCAAATCTACCAACACTGTCACCTCCACCTTCTTAAAACTTCTTTGGGTGCCTGTTTCATCCCTACCATTGGCCTAAACAGATGATAACACTGGCTGTACATGCAATAAAACCTTCAGATCTTCTTTTAAAACTTAACTTCAATTCTGGGAACCGAGCCTCTGACACAGCTGTCATTTTTCCCTCCTTCTAAACAAACGTAACACTGGAAAGGGAAGTAGTGAAGGTGTGTGCAAGGGGAGGGAGACTCTCTAAAGCTCTACGGAAGGTTACTTTCCTCCACGTATCTGGTTCTGCCACTCCCACCAGCTAAGAAAGCCTACCTAAGACACAACTCCAACTCCAGGTCTTCTGCCCCAGGTTTAAGAACCTGCTGACTGCCTGCAACACTCAAGAACTGGATCTGTCAATTCTGTTCCCCCTAAACGTGAGTTTATTCACAGACTTGACATGAGAAATGCAGAGAGTACAGGTCATAAAATCTGTCCGGGCTAACTTACAGGTTCAGCCCTTAAATGTCTGTAAGACCGTATTTCAAAGAGAGCCTTGTATGACTATCGTTACTATTATTTAATTCGGCAGAGAAACACTTTTGCAAAATGTAAACTTATAATTACTAATAACTTCAGTAAAATTGCTATAAAGGAGCTTATCAGGTTGCTCTATATATATATATATATGTACAACAAAAAATTTTAACAGTATTAAAAATAAAATTGGATTATGAATAAAAAGCTAGAAAATATTCTACCAATAAATCACTAAAATAAAAAGATGGCATCACAATTTACAATACTTTTATATATGATGGGTTAATCAGAATTCAGTAAACTTTTGAGTTGTTAATGCAAAATTGAATGGCATGTAAGTATCTTTTAAAAGCATGGTATAAAGTATGCTTCCATGGCACTGAAATATTTTGTCTCCATCTGCTGGAAAACAACAGTATTCTCCTAAGATCAATGCAAATTTTGTGAATGCTGGCAAAGTAGGAATTTCTGAAGACATGAAACTGTATCTTTGTTTATACACTATTTTCATGAATTTCATAAACACAGTACTTTTTAAAAAGCAGAGGCATTTTTACATATTATGCTCTCATAAAATCACACCTTGAATTAACTCATCTGAAACAGAAATTCAGTCTAGGTGTGTTGGTTCATGTTGAGAGGCTAAGGCAGGAGGATCCCAAGTTTAAGCCTAGCCTCAGCAGCTCAGTAATTTAGCAAGACAGTCTCAAAATATAAACTAAAAAAAATAAAAATAAAAAGATGGTGATGTAAAGGGCCTAGATTCAATATAGTTCAGGCTGGCCTCAAACTCAAGGCCCCGAAATGCTGCGATTACAGGAATGTGCCACCATACCCAGCACAAGAGAAATCTTGTATGAAAGCATTATATAGTGCCAGGAATACAGCTCAGTGGCACAGCACCTGCCTAGAAAGCATGAGGCCGTGAGTCCAATCACAATACCACAAAAAAAAACTATATAAAATGACTAAGAAAGTATTATATAAAAACAATTATAAAACTATTGAGGGCTGGGGATATAGCTCAGTGGCACAAGTGCCTGCCTGGCAAGCACAAGGTCCTGAGTTCAATTCCAAGTACAAAAAAAAAAACTATTTAATTAATTTATTCCCAAATATTCATGATTTAAATAACAAAAAGATCACAAATACTTTATCAATAGTAAACTCAGGTCACTCCCTTAAGCATACCAAGTTATAAGAAACACCTATGTATCTACAACCAAAATATAGGACTACCTTTAGTAAGTGATGATACACTACAGTCTTCCGATGGTAGCCCTGTCCCACCATCCTTCCAATACGGATTCAATTCTCTTTCAAGCAGTGTAGACTAGAACAAAACATTTTCAAAGGTTAAAATGTAAAACTAAACCAGCCACAAAAAGTTAATAAATAATAAATCTGAGACCCAGACACTAGCTGTAACCCTGAAAAATTATTTAAAACATTAAGACACACCATTCTGCATCTTGCAGGTAAGAATGTCTGAATTCATTCATTCAATGTTTTTATTGAATACTTACCATATCTCAGAATTGTGTCTGCTGTATAAGAGGTGACTGTCAATAATCCTGACTCAACCCTTGCTATCTTAAGCTATAATAAGGAATACAGACAATATTAACTGACAAAGTTAATATTTGCAGACAAAAAATACTCTGAAGAAAAAAAAAATACTAAAGCCCCCCGAAAAGAATGCAAACCTCTCTCAGGTCTAAGTATTAAAGACCTCCCAGAAGAGGTAATATGTGCAGTCTTATATCTAAGGTTGAGCAGAAATTAGCTGCTTCCTGGGCCCACCCACAGGGCGTGGGATATAGACATGCCCAGCATGCTCATAAAACCTTACTGCTATGGCTGGTACCTAGAGGTCCTCTCAAAGCCTCATGCACTCACAGGTGGGGCTTTTCAGACGTGGCCAGATCTATGGTGCACAAACGCAGATTAAGCATGTGTGAATGTGGATTAAGGGTGTGACGATCACATTAGTCCTTCACTGGTTTAGCATTGTCCTGGGTGTGGGGGGCATCACCCAAAAGGCTTGTACACTGGAAGGGCTAAGTGGGAAAGACAGGCTTGCTGCCTCCTCCTGTCTGCTCTGCGATGGACTGTTTCTCCTTTGTGATGCCCCTCTACCATGCCATGCTGCCTTGGAGCCAGCTGACTATGGATTGAAATTGCTACAAACTTGTGAGAGTTGGATATTTTGTCCCAGCCACAAGGACAGTTAAGTAAGACACAGAAAGAAGAACCATGGCTTTTTTCAGGAAATTTAAAGTAATTCAGACTTGCTTAAACTTAAAGCTGTAAGTAAGTTGTGAAAAGAAATTAGACCAGAAACAAACCAGAGTCTAGGCCACATAAGCCATCTTGCACTGCGGTTGAGATTTTATGCTGGAAGCAATGATGCCTCGTGCGAGGGAATAATTTTGTATTACGCAGAGAGCAAACTGGTTTCCCTGTAAAAGACTGAAGAACATGACTGGAGGCACAAGTCCAAGGAGAAGATGGCAGTGGCAATCCAAACAGGAAATAATGGGAGCCTGCTCGCAACGCAAGCACCACCCGGGTCCCAAGCACTACGCCGGGCCCTGGGGTTACAATCAGTAAGGTGGGCATGGTCCTTGCCATCAAGGAAAATGACATCTAGGACAGGGAGAAAGGCAATGAAGCAATATCAATACAGAGAGATGACGTGAGAGCAAGGGGTGCCGCAGAACTGTACGCTAATGACGGCTGACCTCAGGGGTCAGAAATACCTCCTACAAGAACTAATGAATAATCCAAATAGGAGAGAGAAAAATGAAAGCATTAAACTACAGAAATGTCACCTTACCAGAATATGAACTAATCCTATCATTGAAAACAAAATTGTTGGGTAGTTTTTTAAAATGTATCCTTTGGGAACTGACAAAAAAGAATCCTCAAAGGACAAAATTAAAAGTTAAAGTGATACACAAAACTGGAATTGATTTCTTATAAAGAGTATGTACTGAAAAAAAAAAAAGATTCTGTCTCCTCTCTTGTTAATTTACTACAAAATTTGTCAGGACCTATAATCAAGGAACTTCTAGTGCTCTTATCTAGACACTCAAAATAATACACATCTGATATTCAACCAGATTTTTAGAAGGCTAGAATTATGGGGGCTGGGGATTTAGCTCAGCGGCAAAGCGCCTGCCTGGCAAGCGCAAGGTCCTGAGTTCGGTTCCCGGTACCGGAGAAAAACGAAAAAAAAAAAAGAAGGCTAGAATTACACTGAATAGGACATCTGAGGAGAAATTTGACAAACTGTGAGATGTTATCTAAAAATGTATACAAAACAAAGGACTGAATATATACGGAATTTCTACAAATCAATAAGAAAAAGATAAATGACCCTAGTAGAAAAGAATAAACCTGAATGAACAAAAACATGAAAAGATCTCTCTTGTAGTTGTCAGAATAATGCATATAAAAAAACTGAAATACAATTTCTTACCATAAATTAGTCTGATAAAAAAGTTTGACAATTAGAACAGATACTACACAATGGAAAAGAAATATACTGCTAAGGCAGTATATATTGCTATAATCTTGGCAAGTATTTGTAAAAGAAGATATATTTATATACTCCATAAATACGCCATTTCACTTGTCGATATATACCATGAAGAAATCTGCACATATATGCATGAGAAAATATATGAAAATTCCTTTGTTACAGAACTGACTATAATAGTGAAAAACAGTAAACAGGTATCCATACATTGATGAATGGATACTTACAATATGGCATAGCTAGATGATGAAAGACTAGACAGCAATTAAAAAAATGAAATAGAAATATGTCACCATAACTGACCTTTCAATCAAAATAACTTGTTACAAGATTTTACTTCATCACAATCTCCTTGCTTAAACAAACAAACAAAAAAACAGAAAAGATACACACAGTATAAAACTTACTAGAGTTCAAAACAAGGTAAATATATCTGTGGATAAGTATAACAAGCTGGACATGGTGGTACATGCCTATAATTCAGCACTTGGGAGGCTGAGGCAGGAGGATTGTTGTGAGTTCAAGACCAGCCTGGGCTACAAAGTGAGCTCAAGGCCAGCCTGAACTGCATAGGGAGACCCTGCCTCAAAAAGATACACAAAAAAAGAAGCATAAGAGAAATGCAAAGCATTATACCAGACTGAAGTCATAGGCTTAGTGGGTTCTAAGTGCAAGCTGAATGTTATAGTCTTGAGTTCAATTTGTGTAAGATAATAAATACTAAGGGCCGGGGATATAGCTCAGTGGCACAAGAGCCTGCCTGGGAAGGGCAAGGTCCTGAGTTCGATTCCCAGCACCAAGAAAAAAAAGATAATAAATACTAAGAGCGTTCCAACTGAGACAGAGCAAGACTCAGTCTTACCACATGAAGCAATGACCTGGGTGGGGAAGTCTCCTGGGGAAGGCTGAAGAACTGCTACAGGGTACAGCCTGGGTCTACAGATAAATGCTACAGGTCCACAGCTGGCAGTACACACGGACATAACAAGACAAAGATTCAGCCTCTAGCACTGGCTTTCAAACTTTTCCTTGATCCTTGCATACAGTGATTGTGTGTGTGTGTGAGAGTGTGTGTGTGTGTTCTAGGAAATAAAAATATATCTTTATTACAAGTAATATATGCTTATATTTTATATTCTTAAGCTGACTCCATAAATTAATTTCACGAACCAGACTTTTCAAAACACTGTTTCGGATCACCAAACCAATGATACTGCAGTATCAGGAAAAGATGCAAAAGGAACACGCTTCACACAAATGAATGACTGTAATTTTAGACTTCGTCCCAATACCTGCATATTACCTTCACTGCCATTACAACAACTACCACTTGACTTTAACACAAGGGCCATTTTTTTCTTAAGAAAAAAATGTATGATTTCTTAAGAATATGATAGTATGTAAAGAGCAAGACACCCAAACTGACGTGCACATGTGAAAACTGGATCCTCTCCCTCCCTGGTCTAAGTGACTTACTTTTGTACACAACACTTTGAATTCTTACCTAAGCAAAAATCCCAAACTACCACGGATTACAAACTCCAGAACTAAATCCAAGGATTTACCTAACAGCAAGGTACAACCAAATTGTAATTATGGACAGAAAACGACATCTACAATTTCACATTTAAAAAAAAAAAAAAGACCAGAAGTTCCTACTATGTGCAGGTTCCTATACTAGCTGCAAAGGAAAATACAAATATAAACAAAACACGCTTTCTCAAAATGTTTATAATCTTATAAGGAAAACAGGATCAGACGACTAAGTCACAGCATTTTACAGAAAATTGTAAACAACATGTAGGGACAAATAAAGCGCCATGAAACCATGAAGGAAGAGAAATTTTATTTCAGTCAAGAAAAATAACAAGAGTTCCACAACACATATGAAACAGGCCTTGAAGGATAAACAAGATGCAGACAAAAGATAAAGCTAGAAATAAGGAGAACACACTGAAAAAGAATTAGAAAAAATTCAGAGGAAGGGATTAGCAGAGAAGCATGTGTGAAAGTGATTAAATGAGTTTGGCTAAGACTCAGACTAACTGAGAGAAAGGAATTTGCCTTAAACACCAATCGAATGAGTAAGGTCTGTATTTGCAGGCAGCTTCAGGGGTCTCTGAAAAACAGGAAGTACATTTCCTTTTGGTCTAGGCAGTGATGGTGAACCTTCCAGAGATTTCAGTGATACAAATAGCCCACTGTGGCATGCTTGCCATAGGTTCACCAACACTCGTCTAGGTTCTGAACAAGCTGAACTGCTTAGTAATGAACACTCAATGGGGAAAAAGCCATTCAGTGAAAGCCAAGTAAATGAATCCCACAATGAAGAAGACATTCCCAACTATAGAAAGTACACAGCCAAACCCTATCTGGTCTCTGCAGGCAGCCTGTTTCACAGCAGGAAAGTCAGAGTTGAGAAGGCACGACCAGCGAGGCCTGGTGGGGCATGCCAGTAATCTCAGCACTTGGAAGACTGAGGCAGGAAGATCACAAATTCAAGGCCAGCCTGCACTACATAGTGTGTGACCTTGTCTCAAAACCAACCAAATAAAACAGAAAGCGTGGCCAGTTTATTCTATCTAAATTTTCTAGCAGAAAATTTACTCCACGTCCTGAAGGACAGACTGAGAAGAGTTGGCGTGAAATACTACCAGTGGCGCTCCCATCATCAGAAAGAAAAGATCAGAAATGGCAAAGACACTCTTACTAACTTAAATCATTGAAGAAGACCTCTACATGGAACACTGTGACACTATGATCTAAGGCTCACTCGGAAACAATTAACCAGACCTAACTATGAGATGGAACGGGCGACATCAGCTCCCAGACTTCATCTCCTCCACCTCAGCTTTCTTGCTCCATGTTCCCTGGTCAGCCCCTCTGGCTGGACATACCTTCCCTTCCCTGAGTTCATACAATGAACTCCAACTCCAAATCTAATTCAGAGAAGAAAATATTTTAAAGGATGTAGTCAAGATGTTCCAAAACTCTGGCTTCCAACGTTCCGTAAGGATAGCTTTTTTTTTTAAATAAGTCTCCAGTAAGTTGTCTAAAAACTTCTAATCCTCCTGCCTTAGTCTCTGAAGTAGCTAGGATTACGGGCATGCACCACCACAACTGGCTCAGCATCTATCTTCTTCATAATCATTTATTCCTTACTCATATTTCTATACCTGTTTATTCCTTATCCACACTTTTAAAGCTATTAAATATTCCAACACATAAAGGTTTTGTGGAGCTGATCCACTATCTTTGTTTCAGATGGCTCTCTTTCATGGCCAAAAAATGAGGAAAGCCGAGGATTCAGCTCAGCGGCACGGCGACTGCCTGGCAGTATGAGGGCCTGAGCTCGATTCCCAGTTCAAAAAAAAACAAGAAATAAACAAACAAAAAATGAGGCAAAGGCACCTGGGAGGGTGAGGCAGTGTATTTTCACACACTTTGTGATTTTTCCAATTGTGGGTTTATATCCCTAGAACTTTGTTTCAGAAAACCTGCGAAGCCTAGATTGACAGTATGATCTTGAAGAAAGGACTTGTGGTTATGTGTCCCAAGTAGTTCAAGGTGCTACCACCTCAAAAATACTTCAAAATAAATTCTCCCCTTACAGATTTTCAGACCACATATGTAGCATGAATTCAAGCCACAAACCCCTACACATCAAGCGATAAACCACTACAGCGGCAGCTGTGGTCACACATATATTCCTTTGGGAGGCTTTACTCCCTCTCCCATACACGACACTTGACAAAACAAGCAGGCTGTAGGGTGCAGGTCAGTGGTAAAGGATTTACTTTGCATGTACAAGGCCCTGGGTTTAATTCCTACCAATGGGAAGAAAATGAAGGTCACAGCCCTAAGTAGTTTTATAACTATTTTTATAAAATACTTTCAATAAGAAAAAAAAAAAAAAAAAAAAAGCATGTTAAAATACTTTCAATAAGGTTATTTCCAGGTTCATCTTTTAGTCAAGAATATACCCCTGTAGAGTCCTAGAAATAATAGAGGTTTATCAATCAGACTTGTTTATCTCCTGCAGGAACTTGCTTTATCTGCTATCTCTAAGCATTCATTAAATCTGAAATTCTAGATTACCAGTAGATTCATACTTTTAACCCTTTTTCTTCTTCTTTCTTTCTTTTGTTCACTCTTTCATTTGTTTTGTTTTGTTTTCTGTGACAGGGTCTTGATATGTAGCCCAGGTTAACCTTAAACTGGTGGCAATCTTCCTGCCTCAGCCTCCCAAGTGCTTTTGCCTCATTTAATTCCCACTATTTTTCTACCAGCCATATAACAAAGTAAATGTAGAAATTTTAGGTGTCTTAAAATGAAAACACTTTTATGTTATCTAGTTCAGTATGTACAATGAAACAGAAGTTCAAAGAATTCAGTTTTAATTCAGGGATGATAATCTAAATTCAATTTATCATCCAACTGTATACACCCTAGATTGGTGGTGGCAAACCTATGGCACGCATGCCTCAGCAGGCAGTGTGTACCACTGAAAGCTCTAAAAGGTTCGCCACCACTATCCTAGATTTATAAAAGCAGTATACTTTAAATTGATTTTCTACAGGAAATTTATTTTAAAAGAATTTACATAATACTTCATAGTTGTTCTCATTAATTTTTTTAAATATCACAAAAGACAGCCGGGCATGGTGGCGCACGCCTGTAATCCCAGCACTCAGGAGGTTGAGGCAGGAGGATCTCTGCGAGTTCAAGACCAGCCTGGGCTACAAAGTGAGCTCAAGGCCGGCCTGAACTACATAGCAAGACCCTGTCTCAAAAAGACCAAAAAAAAAAACCTAAATAAATAAATAAATATCACAAAAGACAAACTATTGTACAAGTAAATCTGGATTTATATGAATGTCTTATCAGTTTATTAGAAGCAAATTAGAAAGTTAAAGCGTTTGAAGTGTTTTCTTACCTGTTCAAGTGCTTGGTTTTTCTCTCGCTCTATTTTCCTTGTCATTTCCTTTTCAGCTTTAAGTGATGATGAGGACACAGTTTTAACAGACATAAAATCAACCGTCATCCACTCATCCCTCTGTTTAAAAAAAGGAAGTCACTTCAAACTGAACCAATTAGAATCAGCAAGAGCAGGAGTTCTGAAAGCACTCTAACTGTATCAAAGCCTACAATGCTGTATAACTTTAAGCAAGTTCCCAAAGATCTGTATGCTCTATTAGACTGGATAAAATGCCTGTCCCTCGGGGATGTTCAAAGTGTTAAACAAGATAGCAGATATAATCACATATGCCTGGAACATAACAAAAAATGAAACATTAGGGGCTGGGGATTTAGCTCAGCGGCAAAGCGCCTGCCTGGCAAGCGCAAGGTCGTGAGTTCGGTTCCCGGTACCGGAGAAAAACCAAAAAAAAAAAAAAAAATGAAACATTAGGTCCTGTTGCCCTTTCCTCCTTCATCTGTTGCTAAGAATGCAGAAGTTACATTTACACTCTTTCTTAGGCAATATGAACTACAACTACTGAACTGTAAGTATTAAGAAAATTATGACACAGGTGAAGAGAAATAAAACTGCAATTGAATTCTCCCAACCACGGAAGGATTTAATCAGAGGTACCATTACAAGGCTGTAGCACATTAGGAGGGGAACGCTCCTTCTCTATCAGTAAGCAGAATCAGAAAACCCTCTAAGGGGCTGAAACAGAGATAAGCACTCTCTCTCACAGCAGGAGAAAGGGACAGCCTAAATGTTCAGCAAATATTCATAAGGTGTACTGCTTCCCAAGTCTAATTTTTCTCCAGAAGAAATTATAATCATTTTTTATTTTAACGTTTTCTTAGAAGCTGAAACTTCTTTACAATCGGGCGGCTTGCTTACCTGAATAACCCGGCTGTCAGCTTCTTTTCCTAACTCTTCGTCTTTCACTTTCCAGGCCTTTTCCTTGCCAGGAGTCTGAGGCGGAACAGCCTCCACCCACTCATCCTCCGAGCTCTAAGAATATTTAGCGTATCAGTGGAATTGTTTAATTAGCATACTTTCATATAAAATTTCTATGCTGTTAAGTGGTGCTAATTCAGCTTCCTAGATAAAGTTGTTGCAATATATTTCCTCTTTTAAAAATGACCCTGAAAATTGGGAGAACATATAAATGCATTATTCTGAGTTAAATCCACAAACCACGACCACATTATTTCTATTTTCTTATCAGTTATATTACAGGGCCCATAGAAAATTTTTTAAAAAACAAAACTTAGACCTGCCGGTAAACAAGTCACTTCAGCCCAGAGCTTCGGTTCCCTCCAACATCAAGTATTCACACTTTTGTTAGCCTAGGAAAAGGGCAATGATACCCAGGTACAGTAAATGAGTTTGCCGTTTGCCTCTAAGTTTCAAATTTTGAGATTTTCTGGATCTAAAAATGCAGATTTCTCAAGAAATAGCTAGGCTCATGAGGCATTCTGCTAATTACATTTAAATACCAGATTATTCAATCAATTAAGTATTTAGTAAATATCCCTCATGTATTTATCATTCCTCCAGCTTTTGGGTTTTGTTTATGACGAATGTACAGGTCTGCCCTTCTACGTCAAGTAATATATTAAGTACTTTTACATACAGGACTGTAGAAAGTATTGGTTCGATTTTACAGATAAAGAAAGTTGTCTAAAATTAAATGAGTTGCCCAAGGTTACACAATATTCAAGTATGAGGACAAAGATAAGAATCTAAATCTATTGGCCCTAAAATCTTTTCTTTGGAGCTACAGAACTGAAGTGTAGAAAAGATCCCGGAAACTACTTTGTGCAAACCACCTATAAATAAACAGCTAAGAAAATCTGAGGCTGAGGGGAAAAAATGAATCAACAGCAAAGCAACTTTCTTAAATGACACCACTCTGTTCCATAAAGTTCTTAAGTTACAGAAGCTTTCTTTAACTAAAGAACAGAAACATGTCTGTCAAAAGGTGTAACCCACATGGAGTGAACACATTTAAGCTCTGCCACCTCAATTGGCATCTGCTTCTCAAAGCAAAGCAGATTTTATTCATTCACTTAGGCACTGATTTGGATTTATAGAAATTAATTTTAAATGCTATATATACATATATATATAATTTTAGGATAATCACTATAAATGTATTTTTGGTTAAATCATATTTATACTACCAAATCAACTTAGAGAAACCAGTCCCTAATTGGTGCGGGCGGGGGGGACCTATCAGGGATTGAATCCAGGAGCACTCTAGCACTGAGCTACATCCTTAGCACCCCCTCCTCACTTTTTATTTTGAGATAATGTCTCTAAATTGCCCAGGGTGGCCTCAAACTTGGAGTTCTCCTGCCAGAAGCTAATAAGTAGCTAGAATTACAGCTGTGCACCATGCACAACCTGGTTCCTAATTCTTGATGTCCTCCACTAAAAGGGGAGTTACAGCCTGAAAACAAAATCATTTTAGGGGAGGGCCAATTTGCTAATATCAAAATAAAATGACTAAAATTTGGTGTTCCATGGGATTCTGTTATAGGCTTTCTTTAATAATTAGAAATTTTCTCTATCTTACCACATATGGACCAACCACTTAAATTCACTAACTGAAGCCATCAGTTGCTCTACCACCCAATGTCGAATTCTGGATAAATCCAATCACTGTAATCTACAACTTCAGTTGAAATAGACTTCCACCCCAAACTAGAATTGCCCTTATACTGATTCTTGGTCAGTTCTCCCTTTCTTCTCTTCTTTAAAACATTCACCCATTTCACATTTATTTGTGTAACTACCTGCTTAATGTTCCACTTAGTACTAACTACGTCTTATGAGGACAGGAGCTACATCTGCTTTGGTCTACTTTGTATCCCAAATATAGTACCTCGCTTGACACCTGCACAAATACCCTCAGCTTCTTCAACACTGTCCTCAAGCTTTGCACTCACTCACATTTCCCATACACTCAGAAAAGCATCTCTCTGCTTGCCTCATCAAGAAAAATTAGTCCACCTTGGCCTCCTACATACCCCCTAACAAAATTATTTATAGTTTCTTGTCTAATCTCCTGTTCACTCTCCCTTCAAAGCAGATGCTTTGAAGATAAAAATCTTCAAAGATTTTTATCTCAATCATTCCTGTTCCTCCAGGACTTCACTCCATCAATTACAGTGTCATTTCTGATGCTTCAACCAGAAGTTCTTATGGTCTAGAAATATGTTGAAGTATTTCTCATCTTTCATTTTGAAGCAAGGGAGGAGGACTTTCTATGACCTTGCGTATGCCTCTAGTAGCAATTTATCTTCCAACATCCATTCTAAGATGATCTCACTGAAAGAGTAGCTTCTACCAACTGTCCTCACACCCTTACTTCCAAACTTTTCTCCAAACTCTACGAAACACCTATATCCCCGCTCATTTTGTGAAACCTCTTCAAAATTCATCAGTGGCTTCCACACTGCCAAAGTGAACAGAACATTTCAGTCCTGATTTCTCTAAACCTCTCTACTGCATACAACTCTGCTGATAACTCACATTCTTGATTTCCAGGATACCTCCCAGTGCTTCTCCCAGTCTTTGTTTCTTCTCCATTTTCGTCATACATTATTCCTCTTTTGCTCAGTTCTTAAATGCCCATATTGTTTAGGTTTTTATTCTTTGGCCACTACATTTTTTATTCTTTAACCATTCCACTTAGGCCATCAAATCCATTCTCATAGCTTGACCTATTACCAATTTTCCTGATCACTTCCCAATTTGTCTAGCCAAATTTCCAAGGACTTAGTCAACTATCTACTATACTTGGATTCAGGCTAAACTCAAGAATATAAACAAACTCATCACCTTCTTCTATAACACCTGTTCTTTCCCTCTATTACTGAACTGAGTTACCTGGCACCAACAACCACCTAGTCCAAGTTAGAAATCTCACGGCCATCTTACCCCACTAATCCAAAACCACTATTTTCAACTCTGAAATACTTAACAAATACATCATACAGCAACTATCATGACTGCCATGGGAACCTACCTCCATGCCTAGCCACAGTCAACTGGTTCAAAAGTCATTTCCTGACTTACTTTGTATCAATTCAAAGTACTCTGCAATAATTTGAAATCAAGCCCAAAGACCAATCTAAAATGAAGAAGTGGATAAGCATTGGCAGAGGCTACTTCCATCATGAAGGATGGAATTCCACAAAAACTGGTCTGTATCAAGAAAGAAAAACAAGACCTAGAGGAGAAAAACATGGAAAATAGCAAGAAGGTGGAAGCACTCATGAGTCTAACTTCAGCTGTTCCTGACCTGCAGCTGATTCCTATATCTAGATGTCTCATAAAATTCTATACTCCAATAAATTCTACACTTTTGTATGAGCCTTTTTTTTTGAGACAAGGCCTCATTATATAACCCATACTGGTCTTGAACTCAAAACATAGCCAAGTTGCAATCCTTCAACCTCACCCTCACAAGTATTGACATTACAGGCAAGTACCCCACTTCAGCTTGCATAAGCCAGTTTGTTTGACTTTTGTAACCTAAACAGAGTCCCAACTAACACATATTCCCTCCCTTTCCATCCTACAAGCAGGAGTCTTGAACCAGATCTTCCTACCTCTTACCTGCACAACTGAACAGCCAAATCTCTTGAATTCCAGTCTTTTTACTCCCCTTCCTTCTCCAAATCCCCACCCACAATACACTTAAAATAATACATAGGACATCTGAACTACAGTACTTCTCTTCTATGGCTCCCTGTCACAAAGACTGTTAGTCCTCTTCTTTCCTACCAACGGAACCCAGTATTTTTCTGAAAAGTAATGTGCTTCTCATGACAGCAACTAAAACATGATCAAGAGTCGAGTGAGATGTAAATGAAAGTATTCTGTAGGACTTTCTGGAGGTCAAAAGAGAAAATCCTTTCTGTTATCTGGACTGAAAGACAATTCTGTAATGATGATAAAAGAGCAAAATGATAGAAGCCTTAGTCCCCAACCACAGTAATTTCAGGCTTCCTCTCTGGTTTCTTTTATATGAGAGAAAAAATGTCTTCATTACTTATCTCATGGCTAGGACAAAATACCCAACACCCAAAGTTAAAGGGGGATAGATTCATTCAGTTCTCAGTTTGTAGAGGTTTCAGTGCATAATCAGCTGGCTCCAAGGCAGGGTGGCTTGGCAGAGAACAGTTCATGATGCCCTCAAGGCAACATAAGGAGAGAGGAAGAGAGAGGGAGAGAAAGGAAGAGAGAGGGAGAGAGAGGGAGAGAGAGGGAG